TAATAAACTTTATTAAACAAATACACGATTTGGACTGAAGTAATTAGGTTTTGCCGAATCCTTAACTGGCATTGCTAGCTCCGGTCTTACTTGCAATCGATTAATATTTACACCAAGTGATGAAGCAATTTAATCTTAATGTAAAAAAATAATAATAAGATGCTTAAGCAATAAATATGTGCATAAAAAGTAGTATATTTTAAGTTAATTGATTTGATGTAAATCCTGAATATACAATAATTAAGTTGATATGGCAAGCCCAAAGTGCCAACGTCCCGCTTCCCAATCAACCACCAGTCAAAATTGGTCTTGCTACTATCTTTTCTGGTTCTTTCTCTGTCGCCCTTCAATAGTTCACTTTTTGTCTGCCAATTTTTGAGTAAAATATGTGATACATATCGGGAACTCATTATGTATTAATGTGAGAATTGTTTATGCTAGTAACTGCACTTAGCATTTGTAAAGTATATCGAGTTTTAATCACGCACAAAAAAATTCAACTCCCTCTTTTAATTTATCTTTCCTTCTTTATTTGTTTACGAGTTCACCAATCCTAAAACACTTTCAAAAGATTTGAATGGCCTTGCTATAATCTAGTTGACTTGTGTAGTTATGTCACTGTTGCAAAAGTATTTGTAAATTTAATAGTCCCCTCTTACGTGAATAATAATTACTCCTCTTGAATTTTCAACCATCTTTTCTCTGTTTCCTTGCCTTTTTACTACAGAAATCGAAATGTATATGCCCCAGCTAGTGCTAAATAATTAATCAATTCGCTTTTTGGACAACATCTATCTTTTTTGTTATTTGTTGCAACCTCTAATCATGGAGCTTTTGAAACCGAGGAAATAAAGTAAAAAAGAAAAAGCAAAGGACCTTTTGATAAGTTGATTATTACACTATCAAATTAAACGCAGGTCATAATTAGAACCACATCAATGAAAGTCCCATCAAATTATGAATTCAAATATCCTTAATGTTCTACTTCCTTTCATCCGCATAAGAATCTGACGAGGTAGAATTATTGATACTACTAAAATTAGTTTTAAACTAAAGGACTTTTAGAAGAAAATTGAATTTTTTTCTCTTTGTTTGGCGAAGGAGATAACCTATTATTCAAGAGACTTTTTTCTAAAAACAAAAGATTAGAGTCAAGAAAAAAAAGAAGAAGAGATTTTACCTTCCTTTGGCACGTCAAGTTGGGCCAAGAGAAAAAATTTCACTCAGAAGAGTCATTGCTAGGGCCATTGCAGTCGTTATTTATATTTTGTTTCCGTAATTACTCAATGTGGGTTAAATTTGTCATCAATAATAAAAAGGATATAAGCATATATATTAGATAAATTTTTTCATTCCTCAACTCTCCTTCGATTTGCTCAGAAATTACAATAATCTTTTCATGGAGATTATTAAAAACGGAAATGTACTTGAGATAAAGAACAACAATAAAATGGAATTTTGCATATTGCCATAGAATATATAGGTTGGGATTTGTTTTATGCCTGTTGCGCGCTCTTTTTCTCCTTATTTTGGAATCCCCATGAAACGTAATATGGGTTAGCACACATTGTGCAAGCAGAATACTACTTAACTCCAAATATTAATTTTTTCAAACATAACACACTTGAGCTTGTTGATATTTTATAGATTTGGCGAACATAGCAGGGGCGGCACGCGAAAGTACTCGTATTGACTTCCCTGACCCGTTTTTGCGGCTTTGTAATTGTACGTATATACAGTGTGAAATGACAAAACCTCTTTTCAGTCTTTGCACTGTTTGATAGTTTCGTTCTTTAATCATATGCTCCACTGAAATATTCATATGCCCAGTCTTTGCTTGATCTTCAAGCTGTTATCACCTCTTTTTCCAATTCATTCCTTTTTCTTTTTGTTTCCATTGCTAAGCCCAATTCATGGTTGTTGTATACCGTCGAAGTCGCGGTGGATTAGGCTTGGAACGTAGCGATCAATAACTGAAGATCAACCTCGAGTCCCGTCGAACTAGAACCCGAGGACGGAAATCCTATCTTCGAGGAACATTAAGTCCGGTGTCGACCTTAGTCTCGAACAAGCTCGGAGATAACTAACAGAAGACCGAAATATCCGCGACCGGTTGGATATTAGGGCGAGAATCTCGGCACGTATCAGCAAGGAACCGACAATCAGCAAATCAAGAGATTTTTACCTTTTATAGAAATGTACCTAGAGTAGGACTCCTCTACTATATAAAGGGGGAGGGGGAGTCTGATAATTCATTCAGAACACTGTAACACGCATCACAAAGCAATATATTATTATTTTCAGCTCTTATTATCCTGTTATCTTGTTCCGGCATCGATAAAAGTATTTCTCGCTTGAGGGTGGCTAATCTTTCAAGGCTAAGATTGTTCAACTTGTTTGGTTTGCATTTACGTTTTCATTATTTATTCCAATTTTAATCTGATTTCTCATTTTGTATCGAGTTAGATCACGTATCCTTAAAATCACGTACAAATTCAGTTGCTATCCGATTTTGAGGGTAAACAGTTATCTTAAAGTTCTTAACACTTACCTAATAAGTATGTTTTCATCTTTTTACTTAAATAAAACATAAAGTGCTTCGATATATTGAACTCTAAAAAAAATCTGCAATAAAAATATTTCCTTCGAAAAAAATGGCATATGCCAATTATGCATGAAATCAAGTGCAATAATTTTTTTACAACAACAACAACAAACCAGTGAGTTTCTACAAGTGGTGTCTGGGGAGGGTAGAATGTACACAAACCTTACCCCTAATCCGGAGAGTAGAGAGGTTGTTTCTGAAAGACCCCCGGCTCAAGAAGACAAAAAGAGATATCAGTACCATCAATAGAACTATAGGATTTTTTTTTTATTTTTTTACAAAAATAATAATAATATTTGTTTCATACTAAACGCACCCTAAAATTCAAATGCAACACCCTGGGTCCATTTGGTTAATAAACTCTACCCTTGATAATGTAGAAATAATATCCTCTTGTTACTTTTCGGCTTTATCTTTGAAAATTAACCGCTATCATTGAAATTCAAATTACACGAGTGAAATTTAAAGACAATATTGAGTTTGACTACTGCCATGTGACCAGGAGGTCACGGTTTCAAGCCGTGAAAAATAATATTTTGCAGAAATACAGGGTAAGACCACGTACAATAGATCCTTGTAGTCCGGACCCCACGGATAATAGGAACTTAGTGCACCGGGCGACCTAAAAAAGTGACTATTTTTCAATTACAAATGACAGAAAAGTGGCTATTTTGTGAATAAATCACCAATTAACCTAAATACCCGTCCACGCAACAATTTAAACTTAAAATAGCCGCTGGATGTATAATGTATAAATAATTCATATATAATATATGTACAATCAGTGTATAATCCATGTTCACCTGTTTGGAAAAGTAAAGAATGAATTTGCTGGCTATTTGTGTAAAGATCCCAACGATCTTTACACAAATAGCAGCCAATTTTATTGTTTACTTTTTCTAGCAAGTATATATAGATTATACAATGATTATACACGGTTATACATATATTATATGTGAATTATATGTATATTATATATATGTCTTTTAAATTTAAGCACTTGGGTAGGCGGCTATTTAAGTTAATTCTTGTTAGTAGAAGTGTTAAACATTCACATCTCACTTTCCTAACAAAAATAACAAGTTTTTTTTTTCTTCCTATACAATAGTTGAAGCTTATTTACTAAAATTGTCTAGGATTTATATATTACTCGCTCTAAATAAGTTTTTCTTACAATTTATATACAATCAATTATTAGTGCCTTAAATTAGGGAATACTTTGCTTGAAAAATGGCGTAACTGAAGGGAACTAAGTTCAAATTGTCTTTCCATCTAAATAAGACTTCTTTCCACTTGTGCGTTTACATATTTTAAGTCATAGTTAACGCAACTCTTCTTTCTTTTTGCCATAATTGCCTATTTTAAGAAAAGAATAATGTATGGTACAACAAGATACAAAATAAAAATAAATTTTATACAAATTTAATATAAAATTTTATATATCTACAACTATATACATACTAAAAATAAATTTCAAACAACTAATTATACAGTATATAATTTATTTTCAACTTATCTACAACTTTCATACATCATACTTACCCAGTTAAATACAACTACAACATCATACAACTTAAATATAATTTTTATACATATTTTATATAATATGTATTTTGTATATATTTTGTATGTGGTGTGTTCTTCTGCTTCTTCTTCGAATTTCAATATGAAAATCCAGCCAAATCAAATTTAATCTTCACCCAATACCCTCAAAATCAAGATATAAACTCCATAAATATTTTCAATCGTTTGCAATAACACCCCATCCAAACAAACAATATTTTTTGAAAATCCGAATTCAAATTCAAAATTTCGCAACTTTTTAATGGTTGTCAATGGTGGAGAGTCAAACACCTTCAAAATTTATCGATTTACAATTTCAATTCGAACAATACAACTAAATAATTAATATACATATACTGCTAGCCCGCCATCAGAACACCAACAAGAAAAGGGGAAGCCCGGAAAAGCTCCAAACTCCAGCCATGGCGAAATTCAAATAGATAAAAAATAATCCCTTTCTTCGCCATTGTTAGAGAAAATTATGAGCTTTAGTAGAAAAAACCTTGTAGAAATCGGTGTAGAAAGAGGGTTGATTTCAAAGAGAGAAAGAAAAAAATCCTTTAGAAAGATTGTGGTTTGTTTGGGTAATTAAGGAATTTTTAGGGATTTACTAAATTAAAAGGCTACAATCAAAGGATACTCATTTAAAACTAATTTATATATAATTGATAAATTGTATATGATCGTATAATTAAGTGAAAACTTAATTAAACAGAGTAATTAAGTTTCATATGTAGTATAAGGAGGTAAAAATCTCAAAAAACAACCGATATTCTTATGGGCTATTACATCAACGAGGTATGTGGATTGACCCGAATTCGTCGGTTCTGGGAGTTGTAGGTCCGGCCCAAGATAGGCGAAGTAGTTGAAATACTAGGGTTTATATTAATTGGACACGCCGTCACACTCTCGGGGTATCAATTCGCATTTGTTGGTTGTGAAGTTAGACAGCTCTGATCCTAGCTAAAAAATTTGGGATTGATGCGTAGTGATTTTTGCTTAAGAGTAAGTTACTATTTCCAGATTGGATGTGATAATTATCTTGTGTTACAATTGCTTATCTTCTATATTTGATTTCTTTCTTATTTTCATGTCGATGTCCCTGTATATTATCTTTATTTATGCAGTTTCACAAAACCTCTGGAGGTTTAGGTTGTTTAGGCTTTCATTTACATGCTCTAGCTTTGCATCTTCTAGTTTGTGATGCATAATATAAAAAAATTATCTCTTCTAGTTGTGCTTCATTTCCTGACAAATAAATTATATCCAGAAACTGTACATATCTATTCAGTGTTTCCTGTGCTACTGGATGCATAATATAAAAAATATATGACTTTTAGTTGTTTGACATTGATGTTATTTTTAATAAAATATATTAATGTTTATATTATGTGGTTACAAAGGGAACTTAATAGTTTCCAAAAGGTTTCATGCCTGATCATTGCCATGTTGCTAGCTCTTAACTGATACATCTCATATACATATCTGTTGGATTTGTTTATGGTTATAGAAGTTTCATTTCTCTGTCTGAAGGATGTTGGTATTTGTATTACTTTTATCTTTTATAGACTCATATCTTCTTATTCTTAGGCAAAAAATCTTTGAGCCCAAATTAGTTTATACACAAATGTTTTATTTTATTTTTAATATTATTTCTTAAACTCATCAACTATGACGACAATCCACTTAATAGAGTTGGTATTCCCATTTTCTGAGTAACAATGTCGAGAAAGAGGCGACTCAGAATATTCAGAAGTTGAAGAGGTTGGAAACGTGTTGCCTTAATGACGTGTGGTAGAGCTCTGTCCTAGTAAAGTCTGTTGGCCATATTAAAGTAATTCGCATTGCAAAAAAAATGATTCTAAGTAACATCCGAAACTTAGAAGTGGTAGGTAAAAAAGTTGTAGGTAAGTGCAAAGGGTTCCTTTAGTTCTTAAGACAATTACTAGTTTATTAAGTTCCGAATAAGAGATTGAAGAGCAAACACATTTTAAGAAGTGAAATATGAGGCTTTCAATTTGTTGAGAAGTGAATGTGGAAGCTCACATATTTCACTTTTCAAATCTCCACTCTCCAACCTTTGATTTGGAGCTTAATAGGCGAACAAATGTCTTTAGAGCTAAGGGCAATCCTTTGCACTTTTCTGCAATTCTTTTTCCAACCTCTTCAATTTTTGAAAGTTTCTTAGAATCCATGTTTTCAAATGCGCTTCTTTTGTATAAAGACCAACAACTTTATTGGACAGAGTTCCCACACTAATTGGCCACTACCCATCAAAACAACACTTTTCTTATGTGAATTGGCTCACTTTGACTCGTCAAACTACAATGGCAACCTCATGGAAGAGTGCGGACATTCCAAAATTTTAAGCAGACTTCATCGAGAAAGAGGCAAGTTGAAACTGCGAGTTATGTGCTCCTGACTAACTTTCTTTACTTTTGGGGTTCCCGCACCATGCTTTTTATTGTCATTCTCCATTACTCTCTTGTTCTTCTTTCCAATCTCACCTCAATAAATTTGTAAAGTCAATTTCCTTCTCTTCCTTGCAAGATTTCGTAGTTTGTGCAGAAAATTCTCATCTCCTGTATATCTAAGTTTAGGTTTACTAAGAAGTTTGGGTAAGTAGAAAATTTGATCACCTTCTACTTTGTCAAGTTACAGAGGTATTGTTTGTGGATTATTTTGATATACGCTCCTCTAGAATTTATAGGGTGATGAGGAAAATTTTGATGCTGTGAATGTTGGATGACATGCTTTTCAACGATGGGAATCATTTCAGATTTATGGCAGGGATTTGCATTATTACTGCACGCACAGTTCTAGAGGAATGTAGTCCGTGGCTCTCCTATATTTTTTGTATACTTCAAATTCAAGTGTATAATGTTGTTCCTTTGTATTTTCATATGTGGAAACTAGTTCTTTTGAAATCACAATGGAAGGTCATAATGAGTGAACGTTGATTTTCTATACGGGAAAGGTCTAAATATGCCCTTGTACTATACGAAATTGAGCACATTTGCCTTTCGTTAATACTTTAGTTCAAATATGCCTTTACCGTCACATAGTTGGCCCATATATGCCTTTAGAGTTATACAGTTGGCCCATATATGTCCTTTTTGAAACGGAACCCACCTAAACTAATTAGATTTTTCGTTAATTGTATTAAAGTGTATTACAAACACTATTTCCTTTTTATTAGTACTTTCTTTTCTTTACCTTTCTCTTTTCTTTCTTTTTTTTTTCTTTCCCTTTTTCTTTCTCCCTTATCTGATTTCCTCTATTACTGATGTCTTCTCCATTTTCGTCATCAATTTCACTTGACAAAACTCATGAATTCCAATTACTAAGAAAATTCTCCATTTGACCCTTGGCAGTGCACGGTTTAAATATTTTTACGTTGGATCGGGTCGTACGAACTCGACATAAATTACGCGTAATAAATCTTTGGAACTAATTATAATTGATATTGCTTCATTGGCTTGAGATATAAGTTGTTGAATGATGGAAATAAATTTGGGATTTACTATTAGTGAAAGGATTGTTTATTATTTCTTGTTATTGAGTTTTCAACTATATGTTTGTAACTCATGCTTAGTTATAATTGTGACATTTTATTGTTAGCCCATAGTAAGTGTCAAAGTCGACCCCTCGTCATCACTTCTTCGAGGTTAGACTGGATACTTACTGGGTACATGTTGTTTATGTACTCACGCTACACTTCTGCACTAAATGTGCAGGATCTGAGGCATGTGCATCTGGATATTAGTCCGGCGCGCATCCTTGACTACTACGAGACTTCACGGTGAGCTGCCTTCTTAGCCCGTTCTGAAGCAGCCGGAGTCTTTCTTTTGCTTGTATTTTCTGTCTATTTCACTTCAGACAGTAGACTAGTATTCTTTTATATATTCTACTAGTTGCTCGTACACTTGTGACACTAGGTTTTGGTAGTTCATGCTAGTAGACACTTGATGGTTTTGGGGTTATTTTACTTATCTCACTTGCTTTAAAAATCTTGATTTTTTTTCATTTTTATTAAATTCTTACTTCTTATCTATGCACAAACTAAAAATCAACTATTTCAACTCTTCAAAGGAAAGGATCACAGAGTTAGTTCATTGTAGGCTTGCCTAGCGGCAACGTTGGGCGTCATCACGGCCTATAGGAGAAATTGGGTCGTGACATTGGGCGAGCAAGTTGGATAGTGATGCTTTAAGCGAGATGGTAACATGACTTTTCGTAAGTTGCAGGCTTTGAGGCTGCGTCTTTTCATCATGACATCATGCGTCATTATGGCGCTTTTTCCCGACGCTATGCGTCGCTTCTTGCGCCTCTACCATTTCGATATCTTGCGCCTCTACCATAGTGATGCTTTAAGCGAGATGGCAACATGACTTTTCTTGGTTTTGGTGCTTGAGTTGTTGCCCTCGAGGCCGAAAAGGCACAATTATTGGCTCAACCATCTTTATCCCGCACTTCTGCTTTTCCTGATGTTCCTCGGAATCTGTACGAGGAATGGATTCACGTCGAGGCCCACCTAGATATATTCAGGGATCCGATAGGGGCGAGGGCTATTTCAGAAGCCGACTTTGAGAATACACGTGCTAAGGCACATAAAGCTCGGTTTGCTTGTGGCTATGACCCCGCTACGCCGGAAGCTGGTGATGACGAGGATGGTGTGAGCATGGACCAGATTGAACATGATGCCTGGTACAAGGGTGAATATCCCGTTGGCGATGACGATGAGGTGGGTGAAGACAGCCTTAATGATCAAGCGGGTGATGCTGCTGAGCCGTGTGGTGATTAGTTCTTTTTTTGTTTTAGCCGCGGGCATGTGAACTTTTTGTAGGCGAGCAACCTTTGTAAAAGATATTCTTAATGAAGTGTTAGTTTTGTTGTTTGTACCTGACTTCTTTTCTTTGTTCGAATTTGTGCGCTTTTCTGATTTTATTGCTTGATTTCCTTTTGTCGTAACAGACTTGAGTGGGTTGAACGGTGTTGAAGGTAGCCTTCATTTGGTTAAGGTTGTGGGCCGAGTAGGTAGTAATTCGAAAATAGGTCAAATGTAACCTTTAATTAATTGAGGTCGCATGCCGAATAGGTGTTAATTCGAACGAGGTCGAATGTAACCTTTAATTAATTGAGGCTGTGGGCCGAATAGGTATTAATTCGAACGAGGTCGAATGTAACCTTTAAGTAATTGAGGTCGTGGGCCGAATTGGTGATAATTCGAAGGAGATCGAACGTAACCTTTAATTAATTGAGGCCGTGGGGGTGAATAGGTGCTAATTTGAACAAGGTCGAATGTAACCTTTAATTAATTGAGGCCGTGGGCTGAATAGGTGTTAATTCAAACGAGGTCGAATGTAACCTTTAATTAATTGAGGTTGTGGTTCGAATAATTGTTAATTCGAACGAGGTAAAATGTAACCCTTAATTAATTGAGGTCGTGGGCTGAATAGGTGTTAATTCGAACGAGGTCGAATATAACCTTTAATTAATTGAGGTCGTGGGTCGAATAGGTGTTAATTCGAACGAGGTCGAACGTAACCTTTAATTAATTGAGTCCGTGAGCCGAATAGGTGTTAATTCGAACGAAGTCGAATGTAACATTTAATTAATTGAGGTCGTGGGCTGAATAGGTGTTAATTCGAACGTGGTCGAATGTAAACTTTAATTAATTGAGGCCGTGGCGAATAGGTGTTAATTCGAACGAGGTCGACTGTAACTTTTACTTGGAGAGTAGAGATAAACTTTCATGTACTTGCGCTTTATTCATACTTTTGGAGAGATTTACATATTTTCTGGGCGCTAGCTGGTAGTTCAGTCCCAGTCCCGGTCTATCTAGTCCCTTTATTTGTCGAGCTAGAAATATAGTGAGAGATTGAGCAATGAACTGACCGTCCGGTGTTTTCCATCTATGCGCTTCAATTCTAAAGTATCCCCGTCATAACCTCGTTAAAAACCTCCTCGAGAAAACCCAATTGGGACAAAGCTCGAGCGAGGGAAAAAGAGTGCGACTTTGGGGACCTCGTCCTTTTAAAAGTTGAAGTACCTGAGGTGCGTAATGTTCCAGTTATTTGGTAGTCGCTTTCCTTCCATTGTTTCTAGTGTGAATGACCCTTTGCTTGCTGCTGTCGTGATTTTGTAGGGGTCGTCCCAGTTTGTTCCCAGTTTTCCTTCTCGCGGGTCTTTGCTTGCTTGTGTTTTGTCTTTAAGCATGTAGGCCCCGACTTTAAGTGGCCCGATCTTTGCCCTCTTGTTATAGTAGCGTTTTGCTTGTTGCTTATGGGCTACCATTCTTACATAAGCCATATCTCTTCGTTCCTCGATCTCGTCCAGTTCTTGCCTTCTACTGTCATCGTTCTGGGATCCGCTCTCGCGGAAATACCTTAGACTGGGCTCCCCGACCTCGACTGGTATTACTGCATCCCCGGTGCTCACTTTTGGCGTTGTTCGGCAGGCCCAGAGTACCTCTGGTAATACCTCCGGCCACAGTCCCTTGGCGTCTTCTAGTTTCTTTTTTATGATGTTCAGTATTGACTTGTTGGAGGATTTCGCTTGCCCGTTGCCTGTGGGGTGGTAAGGCGTTGGCAGTATTCTTTTGATGTGCCATTTTCAAAAAATTCGGCGACCTTCTTTCCAGCAAACTCAGGTCCGTTGTCGCAATTGATTTCTTTGGGAAGACAGAAGCGGCATGTGATGTTTTTCCATATGAAGGCGATTACTTCCTGTTCGTGTATCTGGGCGTATGCTCCTGCTTCCACCAATTTAGAGAAATAATCAATTAAAACCAAGAGAAATCGTACATTACCTCGTCCGGCCGGGAGGGGCCACGATATCCATTCCCCATTTGATGAACGACCAAGGGGAAGTCACTGAGTGTAGTTGTTTGCCTGCTTGGTGGATCATTGGAGCGTACTTCTGGCATCGCTCGCAATTTTTCACAAAATTTGCGGCTTTTTTTTTCATGGCGGGCCGGTAATATCCTGCTCGTATGAGGCACCTAACCAACACTTGATTGCCGGAATGAGCTCCGCAGTGGCCTTCGTGCACTTCTTCAAGGACGCGCCGCGTCTGATTTGGGTCCAAGCATTTCGCTAGGGGGCCGCCATATGTCCTTTTGTACAGGTCGTTGTGAACGATGCTATACCTGGCTGCTTGCATCCACAGTTTCTTGGCCTCTTTTTTATCATTGGGGAGTATACCGTCCTGCAAATATGTAGCAATACGGTTGCGCCAGTCCCAAGTAAGGTTTACGTTTCTTACCTTGATTTGGTCTATCAACGAATTGAGGAGGTGGACCTTACTTTGATCTTCGGTTGTGAAGTTTTTGGTGGCTGCTGTCGATTTGGCGAGGCCGTCTGCCTCGATATTCTGTGCTTGGGGAATCTGGTCGAGCTGACATTCATCGAACTCGGGTAGTAGTTTGCAGATTTCGGTATGGTATTTTTGTAACCTCTGCTCCTTGATTTGGAAAGTCCCTGTGACTTGGTTGACCATGAGCTGAGAATCTCAGCGCAGCCTTAGCCGCTTTGCCCCGTATTTGAGTACTAGTCTTAGTCCTGCAATTACGGCCTCATACTCGGCCTCGTTGTTAGTCATGTCCGGGCACCTTATGGACTGGCGAATCACTTCGCCTGTTGGGACTTCAAGTACGAGTTTCAGCTCGGACCTCGACGCATTAGATGCGTCGTCAGTGTATAGGACCCAGAGGTCGTGTGTTTGAGAAAGGTGGAGGGCTTCCTTTTCGACTTCGGGCAGTATGTGCGCACTAAAGTCGGCGACAAAGTCGGTGAGGACCTGAGACTTTATCGCCGTTCGCGGTCGATATGTGATATCGTGCTCGCTTAGTTTGATGGCCCATTTGGCCAATCTGCTCAAAAGTTCGGGTTTGTGTAAAATGCTTCTTAAGGAGAAAGTCATGACGACGAGATGGGATGGCATTGGAAATACGGTCTAAGTTTCCGTGAAGCTATGACTAAGGCCAGAGCCAGTTTTTAAAGGTGGGGGTACCTCGTCTCGGCGTCGATTAGTGTCTTGCTAATGTAATAGATGAGAGATTGCTTGCCTTTATTTTCTTGGACTAGGACTGTGCTCACAGCTACTTCGGATACAGCGAGATAGACGAGGAGAGGCTGTCCTGGTTCCGGTTTTGAGAGCAACGGTGGTGAGGATAGGTATACCTTAAACTCCTTCAATACTTGGACGCATTCAGAGGTCCATTGGAGACCGTTTTCCTTTTTAAGTACGCCGAAGAATTAATGGCACCTATCGGAGGATCACGAGATGAACCTTGATAGGGCGGCGATACGGTTGGTTAGCTTCTAGACTTGTTTTTTGGTGGTCAAGTGCTCTGGTATACCCTCGATGGCTTTGATTTGGTCAGGATTGACCTCGATACCCCTATGCGACACTAAGAAACCCAAGAATTTTCCTGAGGCCACGCTGAATGCGCACTTTTCGGGGTTCAACTTCATGCCGTATTGCCTGAGTATGATGAAGGCTTCTCTTAAATGATCAATGTGATCTTCTTTCTTTTTGGATTTGACCAGCATGTCGTCGATATATACCTCCATCGTCTTTCCGAGTTGTTCTTTGAACATTTTCGTCACCAGTCTCTGGTAAGTTGCCCCCACATTTTTCAGTCCGAAAGGCATGACCCTGTAGCAGTACGTCCCCTGGTGGGTGATGAAGGTGATCTTTTCTTGGTCTGCTTCCTCCATAAGGATCTAGTTGTAGCCCGAGTAGGTGTCCAGGAAACTCAGCAACTCATGTCCGGCTGTCGCATCGATGAGTTGGTCGATATGAGGCGGTGGAGACGAATCCTTGGGGTAAGCTTTGTTCAGGTCAGTGAAATCCACGCACATCCGCCACTTTCCATTTTTCTTTTTTACCATGACCACGTTGGCGACCCATTGGGGGTACTCCGACTCTCTAACAGAGCCATTTTCCAATAATGTTTAATTGTGTTCCCACGTCATTGATTGTGGAATTGAACTTGCGTCGAACTTGCCTTACCGGGGGATAGAGTGGATCGACGTTCAATCTGTGTGTGGCGATCTCTTTTGGTATACCTGACATATCTGCATGGCTAAAAGCAAACAGGTCCGCGTTAGCAATTAAGAATTTGCGAAACTTACCTGGCTCTTGGAGTTTGCAGCCGATGCAGGCTTTCTTGTTGAGATCGTTGACATCTAACTGAACGGGGTCGAGGTCCTCTATAGTCGATCTTGCGGCCTCGGCAACATCGGGGTCTTTGATGACGTCTTTGATGTCGTCGTCTACCGACCTCGACCCTGTTGATTGCTATGCTTCCTTCTCTTTGTCTGACATTTGTTGAGTGGTCGTGCAGTTTAGGGCGATGCAGTAGCATTCTTGAGATGTACGTTGTTCCCCGCATATGCTGAATATCCCCCATGGAGTTGGAAATTTGATGACTTGGTACAAGCTGGAGGGTATAACTCTCATGGTGTGTATCCACGGTCGCCCTATTATGGCGTTGTATGCCGTGTCCTGATCCATGATGTGGAATGTGGTCTCTAGAGTGACGCCACCCGCCAGGACGGGGAGTGTAATCTCTCCAGATGTTCGTTCAACTGCATTGTTGATAAATGAGGATTTTGACTACTTATTAGTGCCTTTTTAGCTTTCGTTTTAGTCCAAAAATGTTTAATTGTGTTCCCAAAAACTGATAAAATATGCTTAGAATATTGGAAGATGAACTCCCGAGATGAAATCCAACTCAAGAAGGAGTAATCTGAACTCAAGGACAAAAAAGGCATAAAAGCTCATAAGTGCGGACCACAGAATATCATCTGCTGCCGCAGGTTATGAAGGAAAATCTATCAATGACCGGTGCAAAGTGCGGTCCGCACATGAATTGTGCGGCCGCAGAAGCTGGGTAAGAGCAAAGTTCAGAGAATCTGCAATTCAAGTCCATTAAAAGTGCGGACCGCACCATTATTGTGTGGCCGCAGAAGAAGAGCTATGCAGCCGCAGTTACAATTATGCAGACCGCAGAAGAGCAAGATGCGGCCGCTGTTACAAATCTGCGGACCGTAGAAAGAGTGCAGTGTGGCCGCAGTTCAGAATTATGCGGCTGTAGATTTCCAATCCTTGTGCTCCTTTTGGGAGTCAGTTCCAGCACGGTAGAGGTCGTCATTTCAGACAGGCTCAGTCAGCTCGGCATTTCATCAGGGTGCATCATCTGACCATGGTTCTCACAGTTCTCATCAGGGCCACTCATCACTTAGTGCCCTTCCAGCTCAGAGTCCATCTCGTGCTCCACCTGTTCAGGGCTCTTCCATGCCAGGTTCTTCTACCCGTCATCCCGGTGCTAGGGGTTCCCTTCAGTTTCCGCCACCAGCGCCAGGGAGTTATTTTGAGTGTGGGGAGCTTGGGCATATGTGGAGGCATTGTCCTCGTCGTCATGGAGGTCTATCTCAGCAGAGGAGTCAGCCTCCGACTGCAGCACCAGTTACCTCACCACCCGCCCAGTCAGCTCGGGGTGGAGGTCAGTCAGCTAGGGGTCGCCCTAGAGGGAGAGGCAGATCAGGGGGTGGCCAGGCCCGTTTCTATGCCCTCCCTGCCAGACCAGATGCTATTGCTTCAGATGCTGTGATTACAGGTATTGTCTCAGTTTGCCACAGAGATGCCTCAGTATTATTTGACCCTGGTTCCATGTATTCGTATGTTTCCTCGTATTTCGCCCATTTTCTGGATATGCCCCGTGAGTCTTTAGTTTCATCTGTACGTGTATCTATTCCTGTGGGCGATACTATTATTGTGGACCGCGTGTATCGGTCATGTGTGGTGACTATTGGGGGTCTGGAGACCCGAGTGGATCTATTGTTGCTCAGTATGGTTGACTTTGATGTGATATTGGGTATGGATTGGTTATCCCCATGTCATGCAGTTTTAGATTGTCACGCTAAGATGGTGACGTTGGCTATGCCGGGATTTCCAAGTGTTGAGTGGAGCGGTTCTGTAGATTATGTACCAAGCAGGGTGATTTCATATTTGAAGGCTCAACGTATGGTTGAGAAGGGTTGCCTATCTTATTTGGCATTTGTGAGGGATGTTAGTGCAGAGATTCCTACTATTAGTTCTGTTTCAGTAGTACATGATTTTCCGGATGTGTTTCCTGCAGACCTGCCGGGCATGCCGCCTGATAGGGATATTGACTTTGGTATTAATTTGGTGCCGGGCACTCAGCCCATTTCTATTCCACCGTATCGTATGGCACTGGCAGAGTTGAAGGAATTGAAAGAACAACTTCAGGAACTCCTTAATAAGGGGTTTATTCGTCCTAGTGTGTCACCTTGGGGTGCACCGGTTCTATTTGTGAAGAAGAAGGATGGTTCCATGAGAATGTGTGTTGATTACAAGCAGTTGAATAAGGTCACAGTCAAGAACAAGTATCTTTTGCCTCGTATTGATGATTTATTCGACCAGCTTCAGGGAGCGAGGGTGTTCTCCAAGATTGATTTAAAGTCCGGTTATCACTAGCTGAAGATTCGGGATTCAGATATTCTTAAGACAGCTTTCAGGACCCGATATGGCCATTATGAGTTCTTGGTGATGTCTTTTGGGCTGACCAATGCCCCAGCAACATTCATGCATTTGATGAACAGTGTATTCCAGCCCTATTTGAACTTATTCGTTGTTGTATTCATTGATGACATCCTGGTGTACTCTCGTAGCCAGGAGGAACACGCTCAGCATTTGATGATTGTATTACAGAGATTGAGGGAGGAGAAGCATTATGCAAAGTTCTCCAAATGTGAGTTTTGGCTCAATTCAGTAGCATTCTTGGGGCACGTGGTGTCCAGTGAGGGTATTCAGGTGGATCCGAAGAAGATAGAGGCGGTGCAGAGTTG